CGCCCGCAGTGGAGGCCGCAGTGTCCACCAAGTCACCCCCGCCGCCCGCGCAGGTGCCACCTGCAGTTGAGACCACGCTGCCACCTGCAGTGGATACCGTGCCACCAGCCACAGTGGCCACCAAGTCACCACCGCCGCAGCGCGTGGAGGAGGTGAAAGCCCCGCTGCCAGAGAACCCAACAGGACAGGAAGACCAGTCGGACAAGAGCGGCCCACTCGAGGCACGGCATGTGGATATTGCTTGCTTTTACATTAGAAGTAATTGAATCAGAAAACTTGTCACCAAGTCAGTGCCTGTTATTCACTTGAAATTCCATAACTCCTTAGCTTCCAAAGTACAACGCGCACCCTTGTGCACTTCCCCTTCCCTTGCCTATAAGATTCCTTTCTCAAGGGTTTCCCCCTGCAGCTGCTTCCCTCGCAGGCCGTCGCGCCTGAAGTGCAGCTGCCAGGGGAGGATGATGAAGAGGAGCCACCGCAGTGAAGGGCCTCTTTTTTCCAAAGCTCATTGCTGGATGGATACCGTTCCATTCAGGTAAGTAGCGTCAGTCATTGACATGTAATCATTTCGTGTTCAGGGCAACCGTCCTTGGCAAGAAGTGCTGCCAGCAACGCGCTCTTTCATGTCACGTGGGTGCTCCAAGGTTACAGCTAGCAAGGGCTACAAGGGTTCTCTCGCTAGCACAATCTTGGTGACTGCTGGGCAGCAAGCTTCAGCCAAAAAAAAAAGGCTCATTGTCAGAGCCTTGATGATTCTAGCCGCGCTTACAGACCGCTACTGATTTTGATTTCTCAGTGGCACACGCGACAATGCAAAAGCTTGCTGTTGATGAGATGTTCAGCATGATGCACGAGGCCACTTGCAGGCGTACACTTCGGAAGGTAGACCAAAAATCAATGCGCCCAGGCCTTGACCAAGCCGTCCGCCAGCCCCGGCGTGCAGGGCTTCACCGCAAAACGAGCGGAGCAGCAGCAGCCTCAGTCATTAGTGAAAGGTAGACTCTGTGTCCATAACTTTAGTTGCCTTTTTTTTCAGCCCTGAACATCGTATCCTTTTTCGAAGGTGTATCCCTTGCGGCTACTAACGCTGAAGCAGCTAGCAGTCACGAGCTAGAGTACGAAGCTTTGCTAGGGCTTGCCTACTTCGTTTTTCGCAGGATCCGAAGGTTTAGGAGTAAGGGGCTTAGGGCATTGGAGCGTAACTCTGTTTCGAGAGAGAAATTGGATTGGTAATCATTCAAGGACGTCTGGATCTCCTAAAGCCTTACACCCTATACTACCCTAAACTCCTCAACTTTGAGCCCTAAAGTTCAGTGGCCTACGCGCAGAAAAGTGCCGGGACAGGTTCAGGTTGGGTACTGCCCCTACTTTGCAACAACTGGATAATAGTATTTGTAATGCAATTCCGAATATTTGTACACATATGTATATATAGAGGCTTAATAGGAAACCTAATATGCACTGGTACAGGGTGGGGGCAGTAGCCAAGGTTTGGGGTTGTGGGTGTGGGATTTAGGATTCGGATTCTTTTTACGTAGTGGTTCAAACCCTTCTGGACATCCTAAAGCCTGAAGCCCTGCACCCTGAGCTTTTGTAGCTTACACTTTCGTGGCCCACGCACCGAAAAAGGCCGGGATAGGTTTAGGTTGGGTACTGCCCCTACTCTGTAACAGCTGGATAATATTGTAATAGAATTGTATATGTATGGCCCTGAATAGGACCCCTCATACGGACTATTACAGGGCGGGGGCAGTACCCAAGGTTTGGGGTTGTGGGTGTGGGATGTAGGATTCGGATCAAGTTCACGTGGTGCCTCAGACCCTTCTGAGACTCGTAAGAGTCTTAAACCCAATACCCCAAACTTTGAGCCCTAAAGTTCAGTGGCCTACGCGCAGAAAAGTGCCGGGACAGGTTCAGGTTGGGTACTGCCCCTACTTTGCAACAACTGGATAATAGTATTTGTAATGCAATTCCGAATATTTGTATACATATGTATATATAGAGGCTTAATAGGAAACCTAATATGCACTGGTACAGGGCGGGGGCAGTACACAAGGTTTTGTGTTGTGGGTTTGGGATCGAGGACTCGGATTAAGTGTACGATGGGTTTTAGGGAACAGGGTTGCGAAGAAGTTGCCATGTCGTGTGTAGAGCTCTAATAAAGTTACGTTAGCCTTCGTGGCCTCTGCACAGACTCTTCTTGGGGCACTTTACTCGGAACCTCTGCTTCCAATGTCCTGGCCCTTGTTGTCCCCAAGCCCTCAACTTTAAGACACTTGCAGGAGGGGAGCTACCGTAGGATAATTTGGTCAGCTGTAGGCCCCTTGTAGAAGTCTCGGAGTAAGTAATTTCCGTAATTTCCCCAGTAGGTCTTAATGTGGTTCCACTGCAATGCCAATATGAGCCGAAGCCCTTGGAGAGACCACGAAGAAAACCCCTAACCTAACATACGCCCCTCAATTCCAGCTGCTGCAGGATTGACGAGGAGGAGGGCACTGCCATTCGAAAGACCAAGGGCAACATGCAGCACGTCCAGGCGCCTGAGTCTTCGGGTTTTGCGGATTCCTCAAATTTTGCATGCGAATTTTCTGTGTGTGTGTGTGTGTCTGGGCTTAGTCTTGCGTGGCAGGTCATGATAAAAGCCTTGAATACCAATCTCCACAGCACGATCGGAAAGGGCCTAGATTTTTTCCTGCCGAAGAAGCCTCTGGAGTACTCGGAAGACCGTATGCCCTTGGAGCCTGCAGCAGCCAAAGATCGTCCTTTGTTCAAGGGTGCCCCGAAGCTGCAAAACGACAGCAAAGCTATGAACCAGTCACCCATGCTGCCCCAAGGTTGCGGATCAAGAAAAGGTGGCCGTGAAGGCCTTCAAGGTCCTGGCCTCGAAGATAAGAACACTTTACGAGGCTGACACCCTACACGGGAGTTGGAACGACTGTCGCTGCTTGGGTGTGAACAGCCGCGCTGACTTCCCAACGTGGCACTTTACGTAACAATTGCTGCTCTGAGATCCTCCCGCGCACGCCTAGGTAACTCACTACAACGAGCGGGACAGGCAGTCAACATGCTCAAGGCGACAATTTTGAGCACCGTGTCCCACGGGCCGCAGCCTGTCTGATTAGGTTTGATTGTAAAGAACGGGACATGCTTTGCTCGCCCTCATTTCAGCGCACTTGCGCGACTGAGAAAATTGATAGTCTGCCAGGTATCAAGGCGGCAGCAATTGGTTATCAAAACAAGACGTTGTGGACCGATTCATAAAGCGCTACGCACACGACGAAGACAAATGGGTCGAGCTGGCTGAGGGCATGAAGGTTGATCTTCGCGGCAAGGAACTTGGCAGTGGGGAAATTCCTACACGTCTGGAGGAGTGGGCCACCCACAAGTCCGTGGTCAACCGCGGTGTTTACGCTGCTTAGATGCACCTATATTATATCCGGCTCCCCCTCAATCCTGGAAGCGCCCCGTCCTGCCCATGAACGTGGCACAGGCATATCCTCGCACCAGCTAAGATCCGGGGCAAGGGGTGGTTTGCATTGACGGAGAGATGCAAATCACTCGCCGAAGAATGGACAATATCTTCCGAGCTGTTGGCTGCCCTTGCGTCAGCTTCTCGCCTGCAGTGGGGGTGTGCACCGGTGTTCAGGCGTCAGCTGCCACCAAGGAACAGAAAGATGAGGGCTGGGAGGATATGGAGTGTGACCTTCCAGATGTTCCTGCGCCACAGGATTCAGACGAGGAATGCGAGCCTACAACTAAAGCTGAGTTCCAGAAGTGGAGATCAACGTTTCGCAACAATGTTGAGCTAGCAGCAGAGATACTTCAAGACAGGCCTTTATGGCATCTGAATTTAAGACTCCCCATACTCATAACATACTCATACGCATTCCAGTTCCTCGCGCAGGTCCGTCCAGCAACAACTGCGGATGATCCACGTCACGACTAGGCATGTCGCTGGGGAGTACTACGACGCCATCCAGACGCAGAAGGAGGGCCAAGTCACTTTGTTGCAGCTAGTCTAGTGGAAGCCCAGCTGAAGCAGCCGTCCTGAAATTGAATCCTAGGCAGCCCAACTGCAATGGAGCGCCGCTCGGTGCTCTGGATCATGGCTGAAGACAGTGCAGCGGACTTTGAGTATGTTGCACCAAGCGGAAACGCTGGAGGAACTTGGAGTGGCCGCCTGGCACAACCCAGAACCAGCGAGCCCGGACGAGAGCTGGGTTCTTGAGGAAACCGTTTTCCTGAACAAGACGTGGAGGGTCTTGACAGAGTTGGCAAGCGCAAGGACGGGCGCATGTTTCTGTAGCTGTGGCAGAATGAGTTGAGTTCCACAAGTTTTTTTTTGCGTGGGACAACTGCAGGTGCTGGTCACAGGCCATGTACAGCGTCTGCCTCCCTTTCACCCTGGCGCCCCTCTTTGGCCCACAAGAAACTCGGCAACCAGCCATGGACTTCATGCGAACGCTTGATGGAGCACTTGCAGCCGCGCACCGCATCATGAAGAACAAGCCCGGCAGCCCGCAGGCGGCAGCAGTCACTGCGTTGCTGAAGGATGTGTGGTGGCACACAACGCAAATTGCGTTGGAGACGATCCAAACAGCTCGTAATGCATCCTTCGATGCGAGGAATCGTGAACTTCGATGCTTGGCGTTTTCTTGCTTTGCCGGCCCCAGCAATACCAAATTTACGGCTGAAGATGTCTTCGCACACCTTGCCCACGTGGCAGCCCGCAGCCAGAAGGGCATGCTGCGCATGTCGAAGTGTCTTGGTTTCTTTTATTAGGATACACGCGTGTGTAACCGGAGAGTCAGCAGTGATCCCTAAGGTGGAGCCGCTATTTCTATTGCACGACTTGCGCGTCGGCAACCAAAAATGGATATCACCACACTTTGTGCGAGAACACGGACTACAACCAGAAAGCGCCCATCAACAAGTCGGATCGGTATGGCCTCTACTTCAGCGCGACAAGGCCTCCAGACCAACGCTTGGAGGTCAGCTCGCTCCAGCAGGTCCAGCACAAGTGGGGGACAGCTGGCACCATAGCGGATATGAGGATGGCTTCAGCCAGCGCGACATTGGTTCATTGCGGAACGAAGGGCTTTGATGACGTGCCGAATTACTGGGCAGGTAGGGATAGACACTGCGTTGTCAAGGGAAACCCCTGAACCTTTGATTCCCAAAGGTGATTTTCCTTTCCGTGTTTTGGGCCGTGCTCGGGAGTTTAGAGTTGCAAGGCCCAGGGG